AATCTTCCCAGAATTTGAAGGTATATGAGCACTCGCTCAAACATATTTGGAATCCTTTCCAATTTCGGTTATCTGAACAACATGTTCCAAAGTTCATAGCACTGGGGCAATTATGTCGAGATTTGATAAATCTCTCTAAGAATTTGTTGATTAGGGGAGAATCTTTTAGAATTCAGAGATGCACGAGAATTCAATCAAGCATTGTTAAAGTTATTTCCAACTTTGGTCAGCCATAGGCAGTATTATGAAATTCATAACACTGGGGCAGTTTATCTTGGTGGTATAAATCTCAAAAAAGTCCTCTCGAGGCATTTTTCTGCAAAAGCCTTACAGACTGGGGCAAGAATTCATGTAAGGGCTTTCTCTCTTCTTGAGTGGTTGATCAGATCACATCCATGTATAGGCTAAACGACCTATGAATTTGAAAATCATGCCGATAAGTCAGGATTGTTATCTTCGACTTATCAAGGACTCAAGTCCATTTACTGACATCCTTTGTCCTAAGTCAAGGTTATTATCCCCAGTTGAAGCTTGAATTGTTATCCACAATAGGATATGAGCAGTAACGCGAAGATTATTTGGGTTTGTTTACTCGAACAAGACTCGATGGGAATATTGCTTCCTAAGGGGACGCCTCCTCCCAGTAAAAGACCTTTTGCTACTTGACATAGACCTATCTACCAGGGGGTTTCTTTTCTAAGATATCTTCTCCCCAGTGAAGCATCCTCGTTTCTCTGCAGTAGGAGAATGTTCTTTCTCCCTGGAAATATAGAAGTTGTTTAAAGTCTAGTTGACCCCTTTCATTGGACTGCAATTTATTTTTGCAGCATCTCCTCTAAAGTCCATTTTTTAGTGGCATTTCTCCTCAGAGTCGACGTATTGAAGTTGCAATCTTGCATCACAGTTTTTACACGGTAATTGATAATTCACATTGTCTATTCTTCGGTAAGGTTTTCCATTCCAAACAGGGGCGCGTCACCCCAATTTCTGTTTTGCAAGTACTGTTGGTCTTACATGACAAAATGCATACCAGCAAATGAATCAAGAAGGGTCTGTATGTGACTAACGTGAGGATGTTCGTATAATGAGATCCAATTTCCCTAGTGGAACTATTCTTCTTTCCCTAATGGAGCAAGTGTCCTTTCTCTCTGGTAAGGTGTACATGAAGAATCCCAGTCATAACTCTTTCGTTACCAGTGGTAGAAGATTTTATTGAGATATCCCTAATGGAGTTTCTATCCCAGGATATTTTACCTCCCAGCAACGTTATCCCCAGTGTGGTCTAAGTAGAATTCTTTTTATACTCCCCCAACAGAAGTCATCTTTGTCAAATAATTCCTATGCCAGAAGTTTCCATTCCCAGCAAATTTTTTTCCTCTTTCCAGTAGAGGATAAAGATTTCATTCCCCGTGAAGTAGGGAGTTTGATCAGAATTCAAGTTTTTCTCTGAACTACAATTTCATTTTTGTAGTATTCTCCCCAAGAAGTTACTTCCCCAGTGAGATCAATCGTTTAAACATTGATGATTTCAAATCTCGGTTCCCCATTGAAGTACAAATTGCTTTTCTCCACAGAAGATTAGATGTGCAAGAATAATCATTTGAAAGTTCATTGTCTTCCCAACATCTGATTATTGACGTGGTCTCCCCAGTGCATTACTAAACATGCATCATTACATTTCATCATTACATCGCATCTACTAAAATGCATATCATTTCCATTGCATGGAGCATTATGCTATAAAAAATTCAAACATGCATAAGTATAAGCCAATTATGTCCACTTGTGGTAACCAGATTGTTATGCGCTCAGATTTGATTTATCTCCACAACAAGCCTAAGGGTGACTCTATTGTGTTTCCCCAGCGGGGTTTGTTTTGATTCACCATCAGTCGGGTCTTTGGTATTCCTCCATCTCCCCAGTAAGTTTGTGGTTTGCGCTTGCCTTTGCAAGCCTTTTGTTATTTTACCCGTGTTTGCTTTGCCGTTAGAGTGCGAGTAAGAGTCGGCGTATAGCCTTTCTTATTTCTCAAGTATTTGAGTGTCCATACTTGGTGTGTGGTAATTCAGATGATTGCCACTCTTGAAGAATTACACCCCGCTTTTGGCAGAGGGATTTTTTAGTTCTTGCGTATTTGCAACCTATCGAAAGCCTAACATGTTTTTCTTTGTTAGAGTCTGCTTGGACCAGTCCCTTTCTCTTGCAGAGTTCACATTCGATCGGTGCTCTTTGAAGGTCCTGCTTAGTCGGTTCCTTGTTTTGGTTTATCCACGTTAGTCGGGTCCTCCTTTCGTTAGCCTAGCTAATCTTTTATGTTAAGAGTCTTTCAGTGTCTCTTCAAAGTTTAGTTGTCTAGCATCCTTATTTAGGCGAATGCGCCCTTTTTATTGGGGCTTTCTTCGGTTAGTCTCGTTCCTGTGTTCGCTAGCAATTCTAAACATTTGTTTCTTGATGATCAACTTTGCTCTTGTGTATCTAACTCTGACCAGACATGCATACCTGTATCTTTCAAAACCCCGCTTCGGCTGGTATCTTTTGTCAAAATCCCGCTTCGGATGGTGTCATTTCTTTTAAATCCACCTTCGATTGACATCATTTGTCCGGAGTCCCATTCGTTTGGTCTCCTTCCTCAGTAAGTCTGCCTTCGATTGGTGTTTCTTTGCAAGAGCTATCTTTGATGTCTCTGTCGTACGTATCCGATACCAACCACGGATATGTATTTTCGATACCTGTTTCATATGTCTGCTACCAACCTCAGACATATGTTTGATGTCTCTTTTGTGCGCATCCGATACCGACCACGGATATGTATCTTGTCTATATCTTTTGTGCGTATCCGATACCGACCACGGATATGTATCTTTTATATCTCTTTCTTACGTGTCCGATACCGACCACAGATATGTATTTTTGATGTCTCTTTCTTGTATATCCGCTACCAACCCCGGATATGTGTCTCTGATATTTTTTTCGTATGTCTACTACAGGCTTCATGCATATATCTTTTGATACCTTTCTTACAAGTGTTTGTTACTAAATCCCAACAGATGTTCCTTGATAACCAAGTTATTCTGCTATGTGTCAAACCCTGGTTGAACATACATCTAACCCCGATGACCCATGTAATCCAAAAAGCAAAATAATATAATAAAAATAGATTTCGAAAAAGAAAAATAATAATACCTGACTGACTCCGGAGCGCAAAATTTTGTGTCCTTTTAAGTATTTAATCTTCTTCCACCTTGAAAGTTCAAAAGGCTGGCGCCAATCTCACCTTCAGGTTGAAGATGATTAAATAGGGGCAGCTGTTGCACCCCAAAATTTGCCCTCCTAATTTCTTTTATTCTTGGCTTATACTTTTGCATTCATCTGCATCTATTTCATTAGGTCACCAACATGGCATACCTGGTTGATGGGCTTACAAGCTCTTATGAGACCTTGAGATGCATAATCATGGGCCAATTTTAAAGATATGTGGATAAGATCTGTTGACTTCGGTTAAAGTAAGCTTTGAAAAATTAACCTTGGGACCAAGGTCTCCCTTGAATTTTCATCTAATATGTGTTGGGAATTCGAGTTGCATTTGAAGAATGGTATGGTAAAGGAAAAGAAATATTGGTTCAGAAAAGAAAAAATTCATTAAAAATCAGGGTTTCTATTCATTGATAAAACTTCAAGATTGAAGTTAGGAGTTCATTGAGAATGCAAGTGTGATTTGGATTTGAAGTTTGATTTGAGTTCAAGATTTTGATTGGATTAAAGTTGGCAAAGAGTCTTAAGCATTGTTCATATGGCTTTCTTGGAAGGTAAAGTACAGACTGCGAGGTTTTGTTTCAAGTCAGAGTTCATACGCATTACAAAGATGTTCACCGTTATTCCAGATTCAAGTTCACATGTGTTCAAAGTTTATTCGAACCCTTTCGTTCATGATTCAAAAAAATACTATCCGATTCCATTCAATTTCATTCAAGTGTAACAATACCTTACAAGAAAATTTGATGCTTTCATGTCTGCAAGCATTTTTTCAAGACTTTGTCATTTAAACCCCGTCCTTAAAATTCATCACCCAACATTTCAAGCTCAAAGGTAATTTATTATTCACACTATAAATTTCAAGTTCATCCAAACCAAACATTCATTATAAAATCATTACAATCCCATTACACCAATATTCTACAAAGAAAAAAAAACTATTACAAAATACACTTGAACAAAATTCTTTAGTCCTAAAGGTGATAAAATTCCATGAGTAAACTTCTAATTCCATTCCATGCCAAAGTTCTTCATCTTCAGTTCATGACCTGCACATTCATACAAAAAAAATCCAAGTTAATACAAGCAATCATGCCAAAATATCCTATGCTCATACAAATTATTCGACACATGAAAAACCATTAATTAACCCAAACCAAATGCTAAACACATATATGGAACAACCTGCATACCTTAACTTTGGCAGAGAATAGGTCCACATCATTCAAACTAACTGCAATTGGAAGGAAAATCAAATTCAGCTTCGGAACAATGTCCAACAATAATCATAATCACACATTTCCAATTGCAGCTACTTTTGTTCATGCTCTTGTTGCTAAATCTATGTCAAGAAACTTCAGGGCTAATATAGTTTGAAGCCTCGTTAAAATGGAAACAAAGTCTCCCTCGATAACCAATTCTTGATTCATGGATCATTAACAATTCAAGTTCAACTTCAACACGATTACCATGTTCATGGAGAGGTATCACTTGTGATTCAAAAGGAACTGTCACAATTCTAAACTTGGCATATACTGGACTTCAAGGTATTGTGTCGGCGGAGGAACAAAAGAGACTGAAGGAAGATGGAGAAAATTTAACTACAAAAGCGCAGGCAACAACATCTTGACTTCTTGCTCTCGAATTTGAGGTGACAAGCAGCAACTCTGGGCTGCTGCCACACAGGTTTTGGGGTTGCTGATTGAGTTCCTTCCTGAGTTGTATGATTCTTCTCCTTTTCTCACAACATGGCGGCTATCTCACTAGAACAAATCAAGAATGAGTCTGTTGATTTGGAAAAAATCCCAATTGAGGAAGTGTTTGCGCAATTGAAATATACCCGAGAAGGTTTGTCCTCTACAGAAGGAGAAAGCAGGATTCAAATATTTGGTCCTAACAAGCTTGAAGAGAAAAAGGAGAGCAAATTTCTCAAGTTTCTTGGGTTTATGTGGAACCCCTTATCATGGGTGATGGAAGCTGCAGCTGTAATGGCGATTGCTCTTGCAAATGGTGGAGGGCAGCCTCCGGATTGGCAAGATTTTGTGGGAATTGTGTGCTTGTTGGTTATCAATTCAACTATCAGTTTCATTGAAGAAAACAATGCTGGAAATGCTGCTGCTGCTCTTATGGCAGGTCTTGCTCCTAAGACGAAGGTTCTTAGAGATGGTAAATGGAGTGAGCAAGAAGCTGCAATTCTCGTTCCAGGAGACATCATTAGTATCAAGCTTGGTGACATCATACCAGCCGATGCTCGTCTTCTAGAAGGTGATCCTTTAAAGGTTGACCAAGCAGCATTAACAGGAGAATCACTTCCGGTTACTAGACATCCAGGACAAGAAGTTTTCTCAGGCTCAACATGCAAACAAGGAGAAATTGAAGCTGTTGTTATTGCAACCGGTGTCCACACATTCTTCGGAAAAGCAGCACATTTGGTTGACAATACAAACAATGTTGGGCATTTCCAAATGGTTCTCAAATCAATTGGAAACTTTTGTATCTGTTCCATTGCAGTTGGTATGTTGGCTGAGATTATAGTCATGTATCCAATTCAACATCGCAAATATCGCGATGGTATTGATAACCTATTAGTCCTTTTGATCGGTGGAATTCCTATTGCTATGCCAACTGTTTTGTCTGTGACAATGGCTATTGGTTCTCATAAGCTTTCTCAGCAAGGTGCTATTACAAAAAATGACGGCCGTTGAGGAAATGGCTGGTATGGACGTTCTTTGCAGTGACAAGACAGGAACACTTACGCTTAACAAATTGAGTGTTGATAGGAACTTGATTGAAGTTTTTATTAAGGGTATGGATAAGGAACATGTGATTCTTCTTGCTGCTAGGGCTGCTAGGACTGAAAATCAGGATGCTATTGATGCTGCTATTGTTGGAATGCTTGCTGACCCTAAAGAGGCGAGGGCCGGGATAACAGAGGTGTATTTCTTGCCATTCAATCCAAATGATAAGAGAACTGCTTTGACATACATTGATAATAAGGATGGAACCTGGCATAGAGCTAGCAAAGGTGCTCCTGAGCAGATTATAGAGTTGTGTAACATGAGAGAAGATGCTCAAAAGAAGATTCATACCATGATTGAAAAGTTCGCAGAAAGAGGGCTACGTTCACTTGGTGTTGCTAGACAGGAAGTTCCTGAGAAAACAAAGGAAAGTGCTGGTGCTCCATGGCAGTTTGTTGGTTTGTTGTCGGTGTTTGATCCTCCTAGGCATGACAGTGCTGAGACCATTAGACAAGCTCTTAACCTCGATGTTAATGTTAAGATGATTACAGGTGATCAACTTGCCATAGCTAAGGAAACTGGTAGGAGACTTGGTATGGGAACCAATATGTATCCTTATGCTACATTGCTTGGTCTAGACAAAGATTCAAGTGTGGCTTCAATGCCAGTTGAAGAGCTTATTGAGAAGGCAGATGGATTTGCCGGAGTTTTCCCAGAACATGAAATTGTGAAGAAGCTACAAGAGAGTAAGCACATTTGTGGAATGACTGGAGATGGTGTGAATGATGCTCCTGCATTGAAGAAAGCTGATATTGGAATTGCTGTTGCCAATGCTACTGATGCTGCAAGAGGCGCTTCTGATATAGTCTTGACAGAACCTGAGTTTGAAAAGAGATAAGAGGAAACCTAAAACGGGAACTCTTCCTCAATCACCTTACGCTACTGATCCAGCATGGTCTGACTCCCTTTGGAAAATTCTGCAGGTTACATGGGATGATCCTGATTTAGTTACAAATACGAAGAGGCTGAACCCCCCTAGCGATTTTCTAAAAGATTGTTAACCTCCATAACTGCTAACCAATTATAACTGAATTTAAAACTCTCAAACTGTAACTAACTTCCTCATCTCCTAACAACCTAGTGCTAACCTAGTTTTGAAACTAACAGAATTTCACTTCCAAAAAAAACTGTCAAAGTTAACTTCTAACCGACTACACCAAGTTACTGAATTTAGAAAACTAACTCTAACAGTAGTTTTTAGCTTCCAACTGACTTGTTCCTAACATCTAACATACCTAACTTCTAAGAGAAATTTCACTGGCAGTTATTAACAGAACCAATAGAAGTTAACAGTTCTAACTGCTTAAAATCTGACCGTTCATCTTGTAACTGACTGATTTGAGTCAACGGCTCAGATCTTCACGTCTCTAACCGTTTCCATCTCCCTCAAATACCTATATAATCCAAAACTCCCTCCAAGTTTCAAACGACGATACTTTCTCTTTTCCAGTTTCAAACTTCATCCTCTCTCCACCATTTTTTTCTATCCTCTTCCATCAACACGCTTCATTTTTCACCCAGAACTCAAAAAGTTTTCGGAATTCTCTCTCTTTCTTCTCTAACCAATACTCTTTACCCTTCAAGCCACTCTTCATTTTTACTTACTTCTGAAACCCTGCTTCATCTTCATCAAATCATCTCTCTGTAAACTCAAATCACACTCCTACGATCTCACTCAAACACAACTCACAATGACAACCGCAACAACACCAACATACAAATCATTAACAAAATCGCACAAGCGCATAGCACAACAATTTTCACAAAAGAAATAGAAGAAAAAGAAGAAGAAGTCGTGCAAAGAAGTTAAGAGATATTGTACCTGAAACTTCTTCAGATTTTTCGTTGTCGGTATCACCCTCGAAGAGACACCGGGTGCCTTCTCCGGTTGGTAAGCCTTCTTCAATCTTTCATTCTACATTTTATGCTCTTTGTCGAAGAATGAAACTTGAATTTTAGTCCACGAAGAGGTTGATGGAAGAGAGACGTGTGAACCGAGGCGGATCAAAAACAAACAATGAAGAGAGGAGCAGAGGTTTGAGATACGAGTGAATTGTGAAACCAAAGTAGAAAGAACGAGTCGGAGGTGTGATTCGGCGCCATTGAGGGAAGAGGAAGAGGACTTTGTTTCTCTTGAAGTCTAACCGTCACACGATTTGGGAACCCTGGGAACAAAATGTTAGAACAAAGTTTGAATCTACTACCCTATATTTAAGTTTTGATGATAACAAAGTGAAAAGATATATTATGTATATGATTCATGTATGAACTATCTACTGCCTAAAATTATTATGTTCTGACTTGCAGATACTCTGATTGATATAAGCAAGATCACATCTAATCAGCATCAGAATTTGGTTCCTGACATCAGCATCAGAAGTTGCCATATCAGAATGTCAGAATCAGATGATCAACTCACGTACATGCTGAAGCCTGATGAACAAGACTGCGCTCAACACTCCGATAAAGAAACACAACAGTTCATCAGCAGTTAAGCAGAGTCAGAATGAGCCAAGCCAGAACTTGCATTAAGTAAGCAACGGTACTGTGCATTGAAAGCAAATTAATACCAACGGCCTCATTCCAGACAAGATCTGCTCGATAAGGAAAGTTTGTTATTAGCATTGAATCAAGAATATTGCATCCAACGTTCAACATCTCAGTGCTATATAAACAAGACTTTAAAGATTGAAATGGCTAATGCTCTCCAAATCTTTACACGCATAAAAGCTGATCAAAATCTTCTTTCTCTCAGTTTTGCTAAACACTACATATTCTGATATTCTATCATTGTTTAGCAATCTAGTTTCTAAGCTTTAATTTGTGTATACATCACAGTTGTGATACAGTTTTGTAGAAAACATTCACACACTAAGATTTGATTTCTTTATAAGAAAGTGTTTCCTTGACAAACCGGGTTGTGGTTTGCATCAAGAAGGATTTAGCAGTTGTTAAAGCAGTCTGTAATATTCAGTTGAATATAGTGGATTAAGACCTCATTGGAGAGAGGCGAAATCACCTTGACGGGTGGACTGGAGTAGTTTGAGATCAAACGAACCAGGATAAAAATATCTTGTTCATTGCATTAGATTTCAGTTTTACAATTCAACCCCCCCCCCTTCTTGTGTTTTTCACTACTTCAATTGGCATCAGAGCGCCTGGTTCTGAGCTAAAACACTTAACCGTATCAGTACAAGATCCAGCGTCAAAAAAACACAATGGCAGGAAACAACTCTCACATCAGCAATGACAATAATAAGGACAGAGACAGATTCAGTGGCAAACCTCCAGTCTTTGATGGAGAAAACTTTGATTACTAGAAAGACAGAATTGAAAGCTTCTTTCTGGCACATGATGCTGATCTGTGGGATATGGTGACAGACGGATACACGCACCCTGTGAATGCAACCGGTCAGAAGATTGATAGAAAAACAATGTCTGACCAACAAAAGCGTGACTTCAAGAATCACCACAAGGCCAGAACCATCCTCCTCAGCGCCATCTCCTATACTGAATATGAAAAGATCTCCAACAGAGACACAACAAAGAACATTTTTGACTCACTCAGAATGACGCATGAGGGCAACGTTCAGGTCAAAGAAACTAAAGCTCTGGTGCTCATTCAGAAGTATGAGGCGTTCAAAATGGAAGAATCTGAATCCATTGAAACAATGTTCTCAAGATTCCAGATTCTGGTAGCTGGTCTCAAGGTTCTGGACAAAGGATACTCTACTGCTGACCATGTCAAGAAAATCATCAGAAGTTTACCCAAGCAGTGGAGACCAATGGTTACAGCTCTGAAGCTAGCTAAAGATCTCAACAAAATCACTCTGAAGGAACTTATCAGCTCCCTCATAAGTCATGAGATAGAGCTAGAAGCTGACGAGCCTCAGAAGCAAGGTAAGCCTTTAGCATTAAAATCTAACAAAAAATTTGAGTCTAAAGTTTTGCAGGCAGTTGAAGAAACATCTGATGGATCCTCATCAGAAGAAGACGAACTCTCCCTCCTCTCCAGAAGAGTAAATCAACTGTGGAAGCAAAGACAAAGGAAGTTCAGGAAGCCTAGAAGATCTGATCAGAACGAGTCTTCTTCCAGATACAGAAGGACAGATTCTTCCTCTGGATACAGAAGATCTGAAGGCTCCTCCAGTAGCAAAAAGCCAAACACCAAGGACATCATCTGCTATGAGTGCAATGAGCAAGGACACTATAAGACTGACTGCCCAAAGCTTCAGAGGGAAAAGCCCAAAAAGAAGTTTGGAAGAGAGAAGAAGAAAAGTCTCATGGCTACATGGGATGACTCTGACTCGTCTGAAGCTGACTCAGAATCAGATGATGAGAGGGCAAACATAGCTCTCATGGCTAACATCTCAGAAGATAGTGAAGCTTCTGAATCAGACTCAGAATCAGATACTGAAGAGGTATTTCCTAACTTTGCTGTTAACTTTACAAAGGCTGAACTTGCTGAAAGCCTTAATGAGATTCTGGAACGGTATCAGCAAATTAGAGTTAAATTCAGAGACCTGAAAAGGAATCTTGAATCTGACTCTAATAAGACTGAGAGTCTCAAATTGGAGAATTCTGAGCTGAGAAATAAGATTTCAAAATTAAAAAACACTTTACAAAACTCTCAGAAGGAACCAATTTCTGAAACTCCCAGCAACGCTGATGAGATCATCAAGGAGTATGATCACAGTTTCCAGAAGTTCCTCGCTAAAAGCATAGATAGAAGCAAAATGGCTTCAATGATCTATGGAGTTAGCAGAAACGACAGGAAAGGAATAGGATACCAAGGTAAGGTTCCTACACCAAAGAATGTCATGGACTTAACCATTAAACACACTCCTCTGAATTCACACTTTGTGTATGGTCACACACATGATATTAAATACACTAGCAGTAAGCACTCTGTGAAACCAAAATTCAACCAGAGTTTTGGTAAAACTAACAAATCAGGACCCAAGAAAATCTGGGTACCTAAGGATAAAATAATACATGTTGCAGATATCTTTAGCAGCAAGTCAGAAACACCAGTCATGGTACCTGGACTCTGGCTGCTCACGACGCATGACGGGAAGAAGGCATATGTTCCAAAGCCTGGAACTTAAGCCTGGAGGCCACGTTGGCTTTGGAGGCAATCAGAGGGGAAAGATAATTGGCTCTGGAACTGTAGGTAATGGAAATCTTCCCTCTATTAATAATGTTCTTCTAGTAGATGGATTGATGCATAATCTGTTATCCATAAGTCAATTAAGTGATAACGGTTATGATATAATCTTTAATCAAAAATCATGTAAAGCTGTTAGTCAGAAAGATGGGACTATCCTGTTTAATGGTAAGAGGAAAAACAACATTTACAAAATCAAACTTTCTGAACTAAAGAGTCAGAATGTAAAATGTCTTCTGTCTGTTAACAACGAGCAGTGGATCTGGCACAGAAGATTGGGGCATGTTAGTATGAGAAGAATATCTCAGATTAACAAACTCAATCTGGTCAGAGGACTTCCTAATTTGAAGTTATATTCAGATGCTCTGTGTGAAGCATGTCAGAAAGGCAAATTTGCAAAACCTTCTTTTAAATCCAAAAATGTTGTTTCTACCTCTAAGCCATTAGAACTTCTGCACATTGACTTATTTGGAACAGTTAAAACTGCTTCAGTCAGTGGCAAGAAGTATGGGTTAGTAATCGTAGATGACTATAGCAGATGGACATGGGTAACGTTCTTAAGACACAAGGACGAGTCACACTCTGTGTTTGTTACCTTCTGTAACCAAGTTCAGAATGAAAAGGATCTTAGAATCGTTAAAGTCAGAAGTGATCATGGTGGAGAATTTGAA